AGCACGTGATCGGCGTGATGAGGGAGATGATGGAGCATTAATTAGGAAAGATTGGCGTCCCAAACTGACAACAACGAAATTTAACTGTGTCTGAAGGGATTAAATGGCTTAGGGGCTGTTTGTTTGCGATTTAGGTTGGGGGAAGGCCTGCTAAAAGTACAGCTTTTGACAGGCTTTCCACCCAAATCACCTCTTTTAGAGGCGATTTGGGTGAAAAATCTGCACTTTTGGCAGGCTTACCAGCCATTTCCTCCTAAAAAGCCTCTTTCCAAATAGCCCCTTAATTTTCGTCGGGCTCGCGTACGACAAGCTAAGCTCTGACGTGGCAGCGTGCAAGTGTCAGAGCGGTCAGAAACGTGTCCATTATCACTCTAGTTCTAAGGGGCTGTTTGGTTGGTTTCCTAAAAACCAAGAAAAAGAAATTTTTGAAATTTTTTATAAAATATTATTTTTATCTATTTTCATTCCTAAAACTCACCCCAAGAAAAGAAAATTTATACACTTTTATCAATAAAATATTATTTTTATCCACCAACTCATCACATCTCATCTCCTTTCTTACTTTTAAGGGTCTGTTCGGTTATTTTCTAAAAATCAAGAAATGGAAATGGAAAAGGTGAAAATCTTAAAAAGCACTATTTCTTCCATTTCCATCCCTAAAACTCACCCACAACATCCAATAAAATATTATTTTCATCCAACAACTCATCCACATCATCTAATAAAATATTATTTTCATCTAACCACTCATCCATCACATCTAATAAAATATTATTTTCATCTAACAACTCATCTATCCCATCTAATAAAATATTATTTTCATCCAAACATCACTCAACTCATCTCTTCTCATCATTTCAAATCACTCATATCATCCAATAAAATATTATAACAATTCACCTCATTTCATTAACATTTTATTTCTTTGTTTTCATCCCAAAAAGTTGTGAAAACACTTTTCTTAAGTGTGGGTCACACCACCCAATAATACATGACAACTCATCTCATCTCATTTCATTTCTTATTTTTAAGAATGAACCAAACAAAAGAAAACAACAAACTACAGGAAATAGGTTTCTTATAATTCATTTCCTTATTTTTTTCGCCAACCAAACAACATTAAAACTAATTTTCTTAAAAAATCACTCACATCATCCAATAATAATGTGACAACTCATCTCATCTCATCTCCATTTCTTTGATTTCCTTTTTTTTAGCCAACCAAACAATTCAAAAACCTCTTAGAAATATGTTTCGTTTTCTTTGATTTCCCTCTTTTTTTAGGCAAACGAACAGACCCTAAAAATAAACCAAACACAAGAAATGTGTCACATCATCCAACTCATCTCATCTCATCTTTAAAAATCACTCACATCATCTAATAATATGGTTACAACTCATCCAATCTCATTAACATTTCATTTCCACACATTTCCTAAAAAAACCAATGAAATTGATCTCTTTAAGTGTGGGTCACATCATCTAATAATATAATGACAACTTATCTAATCTCATCTATTTTCTTATTTTTAAGAATGAACCAAACACAAGAAAAGAACCTATTATAGGAAATAGGTTTCTTATAATATATTTCTTTATTTTTTTAACCAACCAAACAACCTTAAAACAAGTTTTCTTAAAAAATCACTTACATCATCCAATAATATGGTGACAACTCATCTCATCTTATCTTCTATTCTTTGATTTCCTTTATTTTTTTAACCAACAAAACAACCATAATAAAAGTTTTTTTTTTATTTGAATTCCTATACTTTGATTTCCCAATTTTTTTTAGGCAAACAAACAGCCCATAAAGTTAGGTTTGTAAAGAAGGGAAGACCAAATGTAATTTCTCGACGACCCTAACTTTAAAGAACTCGAGTGGGATTAAAAAAAAGACCGTCAATAGTGAACATCACCTTTACTATTCAAAACGTGCTTTGTTGGCATTGTTGCCCTCTCATCACCAAGTATATTATCACATGCTGGTAGTCTAGCACATGCAAATGTACAGGATAGAGAAAAATATTGGTTTTGCGTATTTTTAATTTATTAAATTTGAAGTTTTATTTTATCCTGTTTATAAGGAGAACGTGTATTAATTGTGACTATGAAAAGAGTGAGAGTGAAGATGTTATGCAAGAAAGAAATTATCGTTTTACCTTTATTATTTGATCTTTATTTCCTCGCGTTCTAATTCTCTTAATAGTAGTATAAATATAGACGTGTCCATAGGAACTTGGCTCTTTTTAATTTACATATAATTAATCATTTAAAATATCAGCACTTTCTCTTTGTATCTTTTATAAATTATAATAAAATATAATGGCAATCTTATTTTCATGTCATTCAATGATTTAGAATGTCCTTGAAGAAAGAAAGAAGAACTAAAAAGAAGAAGAAGAAGGTGAAAATATATTTCTGTAAAATTAAATGATATAGAATTTTCGGGCTTTAATGATCTAGATTGTTCTTGAAGATGGAAAAATAAAAGAAAAGGAAAGGAAAGTAAAAAAAGACTTGTAAAATTACAATTCTACCCTTTAAATTACAAAGACATGCAATGAGGAAATGTCCTTCATTCCTTAACTTTTTTATTGCCCCTAGTAATTTTTTTACATAGAACTATAGATGACAACAATAATAACTAAATTACTTATATCAATTTTACATTCGAAGAACAAATTTTATTCCCATAAATGGAGATTAAAATTTTTGATGTTGAATTCTCATCATTTAAAATTAAGCACTACAAATATCTAGACGAATAATATGTTACATATTTATAATATATTTATCCAAGTGGGTGTGGTAAAAACTTATTTTTTTATGGATTCAGAATAAAAAAAATCAATAAAGAGACTAGTACTATATCACAATCTTTAATTTGTTTAAAATCATCGGAGAGATCACTATTATATCATAACCGTTAATTTATTTATTGGGTAGTTATAATTTAAGAAATGACTGCAAATCACGGGGATATGGTAAATATTAGATTTAGAGAATCATAACTACCTACAAAACAAATTAATAGTTAATATAGTGATCACTTCATCATTTTTATAGTGAAGATGATCCAAATTTATTTTATTACTTGCAAAAAGTAAATATGAAATATAGTCTTTGTGCTTCAAAATTTTACTATCATACAATCCTCGGGCTATTCAAGGTTGAAATGCTCGGCGTAGTTTAACCGTATTAAAGTTCTGACATAATGCTAATAAACTAATTATGCTTGAAGAGAGGTAACATTGTTTTTTTAAACTAGAAATGACCATAGAGATGTAACTTCACTCTACAAATAAACTTTGATTTTGTAAATATAATTTAAAATTTAATCAATCACCTCTCAATCCATGCACTGACATAAGATATCAAAGTATAAATTTTAAGCATTAATGCCTTAGGGACCCAAATAGGGGACCCAAGAAATGGGACAGGTGAGGTGTCACCATCCGGTTGCATGATGCACTGTTCATGAACAGTGCATCATGCAACCGGATGGTGACACCTCACATGTCCCATGCCATGGATCCCATATTTGAGTCCTTGTAGCAATACCCTTGAGCCCTTTAATTTTTAAGAAACAAAGAATCAAGTCAAGTCAGTAATATCCACAGTAAAAAAAATTCAATGTAGGTCTCTTAAATCTAACTTATTTTGAAATTAGTCTCGCAAATCATTCAAATTGCTATTAAGCTCCTCAAGTCCTATAAAATATTCTAGATTAATCCTAATATATTTCATGTACTTAATAGCAATTTCAATGAAATAACTCGTATGAATCCATCTAGAAGAATCAAAAACTAAATTTAATACTCGCATAATTGTACAAGTGTGGTAGTAAATGGTTTACACTGGCACTCCAGGAAATGTATCTGTTAAGTCTCTTAGCACTTAAACTAGGCTCGGATGAGCAAACCATGACATTTCCATATTTTTTGAATTCACATATAGCTAGACTAAGGCTTTTTCACAAGAAAACATTTGGCAAACAAGTGCAAGAATTAATGAGACTCAAGAAAGGTTAACAATATCGTCAATGCATTAAACTCCCAACTAATATAGAATATAATTTAGAAAAGCTAATAAATGATTAACTCTTCAACTTATCCTTATGTCATCCTAAACTTTTGGCTTCTCATCCATCATCCTCGTCACATAATTAAACACGAATCCACTAGAGAAATTATGTATGTCTTGAAAAGCCCCCAATTTTTTTTAAGCGTCTTCATTTGGCTTTTAACAACGATGACATCAACCTTTTTTCCACATTTAGCATATAACTCAGCACATGTTGCCTAATAAGCATAGTTTGGGAAACTTTGATCAGGCTTTTGCCCTTTGTGCATTTCTTCTTTTAATGTTTCAATTAAACAAATATCTATCTTCTATGTCCACATGATATTTTTCTTTGGACTTGATTGACGTTCCAGTTGTGAGTCCATCTGAGCTACATGTTCCTCACTAAAAAAAATCAGGTCTTTAATGACCAAAATTAGCGAATGGACTATTTGACCGTCATTAATATGTGTAAAATAATGACGGTTTTAAAAACCTTCATCGATTGATCACAAATATTAGAGTAATGATGTGGGATGGGATAACGACTTTCTAATACCTTCATTGATTTGGTTCTAATACCGTTATTATTGAGTCTCCTAAAAGACGAAGGAGTCAATTATCTTCATTAATCATAACTCCTAATCATAAGATAAGTATTAATCAAAATAATATAAAGAACCGAAATCTAAACCTCCCTCTAACCGCAACTAATAAACTAATAAACACTAATAACAAAAATCGCGTTACTGTTCACCATCTCTGCTATTTGTCGCTGTTCTTCCGCTGTCATCCTCGTGCCAGCGTCGCGACGCCCGCCCCAGCTTCGGCGCCCCAGCGTTGGCCCCTGCGCTGCCTCAGCGCCGCCAGCCGCCCAGCGCCATCGTCGCCCCAGCACCGTCGTCGCCCAGTGCCGCCCATTCGTTGCTCTCTTCCTCTATCTCGACGGCTCGACGGTAACACGGTCGCCCATCGTCGCCTGCGCGCGTCTTCCGTTTTCGTTTGGTGATACGCAGTCAAGTACCCTATCACCTACTTTGCACTTATGCACCCGCACTTGTTTTTGGCACTGAAATATCTTCCCCTATGCAAATTTGAGGGTATAACTGTAAATTTTAAAAACTTTGTGTCAGTTTAATTATGCTGCTATTCTAATGAAACCCATTTCACTTTATGGGTTCACTAAGGTTAGGGGTGTGAATTTGGGAGGCTGGCTTGTGGTAGAAGGGTGGGTTAAACCTTCGCTGTTTGATGAAATTCCAAATGGGGATATGCTTGTGAGTTCTGTAGGTTTTGTTGTCTTTTTCAATTTGGCTTCTTGGTTTATAGGGAAGTCATTTTATTGTATTTTGGGGATTTTTGGAATTGGGATGGAACACAAGTGCAATTCAAGTCAATGACATTGCAGAAGTATGTGAGTGCAGACAATGGTGGAGGAATGAATGTTACTGTGGACCGAGATGTGCCATCTACATGGGAAACCCTCAAGGTCTGAAATTCTGGTATAAAGCTTTCTTGTGTTCTTTAATGAATACTTTTTGATATATGTTAATGTTTTTTTTAGCTTAGTTAGGAGTGGCCATGTTGAAACAATTATGATGTTAGTCTATAGTGATATTTGAAGATGGCTAATTTATAGATTAAGGTACTCTCTTGATATAGACTGCCAATATTAAAGGTTTTGAGTAACTTAGTATATTCTTTCTCAATCTTTTAGTTATTCGTAATGAACTATCTTCTATCAATAACTTTGAGGTTGGTTCTCAAGGTAACAAATTTAACTCTCGGAGCACCACAAAATTATGTCAGATACTCCTTTTGACATATTTTTGAACTTGCAGCATACTTAGATGCATTAACATATATTTATGAATCTTTTCTTATCTCACGGATTAATGATTTTATTTAATGTCTAGATGCGTTGGAGTTATATAATTTGTTCAATTGTTCTAGCAAGGAGTATGAATTTTCATAAATATCAATTTAGATAACTGGAAATTTCTTCATAATGTCTATCCTATTTAATGTTGACACGCAAACATGCATAATTTTATTATTGTTGTATCCATGCCTATGGTATCCTAAACCTTTAGGATTTGACTTATCCATTTACCAATATTTAGTCTTATCTGTGCAGTGCATCATTTTTGTATGCATGAATATGTATGTATGTATAAACATGACTATTTTATATATGGCGTTGGTCATATCCATGTCCTAATTTTTCAAAATTTACTCTCATCAGTTCCATATCATATCATACCCATATCTCTAAGTCATGGGGATTTGGCTTATCTATGTACCGACATGCATGTTGCAGAAGGTTTTCTGTTCTTAGAGCTTTTTAAACACTTTTAGCTTGCATTGCTTGTTCTCATGATGAGTACTATGTAGTTCGTAAATGTAACTGAATTTTATTTTTAAAACATGCACGTAATATGAAATCAGTGCTGAACCTTGTCCTGTTCCTGCTATTGTTGGAACTTCAGCGTCTTGCACATTCTATGTATAATTGTCATCATGTTCAGCGCCATCATTGTAAATATATCCGAAATCTTTGCTATTGAAGTGAACTGAGCTTGATAAATATCTCAAATAAATTGTGCAATTCTTTTTATTATTCTTGCCTTTGTTGACAACTGACCAATTCCAGCTTCCGCAAACTCCAAAAACTTACCCAGCTGTATTTTCTGCAAAGGATCAAATTGTTTAACTTCTGGCTTCTTGAATCCCATTAACCAACTCTTTATATTTCAATACTAGATATGGAGAGTATCTGAGAACGAGTTTCAGTTCCGATGTGTTGGTGGCCAATTTTTAACATTGACTGGTGAAGGGAACTTGATCTCAGCTACAGCAGGTTCACCTTCTGTGAATGAGACTTTCTATGTTGAATTAGCATGTATTTTTGTGAGATGGAGCAAAAGCGAGATTCAGTAATTAGACACTTGCGCGATCTGTAGAATAAGTGGCGTGGTGAGATGCACAAGAAATATGTGAAAGAAAAATCATTGCAAGTTGCACTTAGATATAAACCTGCAGGAGTGAGTGTTGATGACTAGGATTGGCTGGTTAAGGAACATTATTTTTGTTCAAAATTTCAGGTATTAATCTCCTAATTTTATTTATTTTGTTCCATGTATATTGCTGGATTATTGAAATTTTCTTTTAATATTGATGTGTAGAAAGCAAGCCAACGAAATACACTTAATAGAGACAAAAGAAAGATGCTCCACCACACGGGCAATAAACCATTTAGACAAATTACGTGGGAACTGGTATACATTCAAAACTAATTTCCTATTTATTCAAAACTATTTTGTTTTTTAGTTTGATGTTGTACTCATTTTTATTTAATATTTGAATAAGGGTGGCAAGTCACGAAATCCACCTGATGTGGCAAAAATGTTCCATGAAACCCGAAAGAAAGCTAATGAAACACTAGATACTGGGGATCAAGATAAATATGTAAGTAGAATATATATTTAAGTTTGATAATGAAGGTTTTCATGGAACATTTTTATTCTACTTACATATTTGTCAAACGACGGGTGAAGTTATGCATACAATAACGAATGTTTTTAGCTCTTTAACGAAGGAAAACCCCTTTGTCTTTCCCTTCGTTAAAGACATAATTTCTTGTAGTGTGTCAATATGCAACATAGTTAAAAGCTTAGTATTTGAAAACTGAAGCTTGAATATATAAAGTGTGTGTGCATGCGTGTGCGTTTGTGTTTGTTGGTGGTGTATGAAGTTGTTGTTTCTGTTTTGTGGACATCTACACACAAAGTTCACCACTTGATACCAATGAAAAGCCAAATATTAAGGCACATCCTTAATATCATTGTCGTAAACAACATTCTATTAGATAAATAAATATGAAAATCTAATCTGATAGAAACTAATTAACTATAGCAAATAACTAGATATGAGTTATTGTTGACATATTAGTAATATATAGGGACTTATTTGTAAGTTGTGTTTTGTAGGGGCCTATATAAGCCAAGATCTTTCACCTCGAATTCCTTACCCAGTTTCACTTTGAGTTGGGCAATCTTCTTCTCATCATCCCCTGTAATAATCATATCATCCACATATACCGCAAGTATGGTGATGTGACCTTCATTTCGTCGAAAGAACACGGTATGATCGGCGTTAATCTGCTGGTACCCCATACCTAGCATAGCCCTCCTGAAGCAGTCTCCCCGCGCTTGGTTCGACAGATTCAGGAGGGCTATGCTAGATATGGGGTACCAACAGATTAACACCGATCATACCGTGTTCTTTTGACCAAATGAAGGTCACATCACCATACTTATGGTATATGTGGATGATATGATTATTACATGGGATGATGAGAAGGAGATTGCCCAACTCAAAGTAAAACTGGGTAAGGAATTCGAGGTAAAAAATCTTGGCTTGCTTCGATACTTTCTTGGAATAGAGATAGCTCGAGGAGCGGAGGAGATTGTCCTATCTCAGAGAAAGTATGCACCGGATCTTCTCAAAAAGACAGGGATGTTAGGGTGTAAACCTGCAACTACACCGATCGACCAGAAGTTCAAGCTGGGTGCTGAAGCTGGAGAACCAGTTGATCGTGACAGATACCAAAGGCTGGTGGGCAGGTTGATCTATCTGAGTCACACACGTCCCGATATCTCTTTTGCAGTGAGCGTGGTGAGCTGCTACATGCATGATCCGAGGAAGGGTCATATGGATGTTGTGTACCAGATTCTGAGATATTTGAAGAGTGCCCCGGAAAAGGGCTGATATTCAGAAAGAATAGACATGTGAGTATTGAGGGTTACTGCGACTCTGATTGGGCTAGCTGTGCTGATGACAGGAGGTCCACATCAGGATACTGCATCTTTATAGGAGGCAACTTAGTCTCGTGGAAGAGCAAGAAGCAGTCAGTGGTGGCGAGATCGACAGCTGAGTATAGAGCTATGGCCTTAGGAGTTGCTGAGTTGCTATGGTTGAAGAGTATGCTGGTGGAGCTGAAGCTGGATCAAGGAGCTAAGATGAAGTTGTGGTGTGATAACAAGTCAGCTATCAGTATCGCCAATAACCTAGTGCAGCATGATAGAACCAAACACATCGAGATCGATAGGTTCTTCATCAAAAAGAAGTTGGATAGTGGACTACTGGAGCTAAGTCATGTTTTAACTAAGGACCAGACAGCAGATTGTCTGACTAAAGGACTTAGCTCATTAGATATGATTAGAGGATGTGAGGACCAGACAGCAGATTGTCTGACTAAAGGACTTAGCTCATTAGATATGATTAGAGGATGTGACAAGATGAGCTTAGTGGATATCTTTCGCCCATCTTGATGACAAGATGAGCTTAGTGGATATCTTTCGCCCATCTTGAGGAGGAGTGTTGACATATTAGTAATATATAGGGACTTATTTGTAAGTTGTGTTTTGTAGGGGCCTATATAAGCCTAAGAGATTTCATAATAAGAACTAGGGTTTCTCATATATTTCAATTGTTATAATTAGCCAGATCATACCAAAATGAACAACTTAATAGGCAAATCAAATCATCAAGTTTTATTTAAACAAATGTACTGACATAACAGTTAACACTTGTCCAACCAGACATACCAAGTCTTGCAATAGCATGGTTCTATATCAATTACTAGATAGGAATGTGTATAACTACGATTATTCATATCAGGTTAAGATAGACATAGACATAATATGAAGGAAACCATCACTCGAATGACAAACTAGAAGCATCCAACCTTTATAGAAACTTTTGCAGATAGAATAAATTAAGGTATTTCATTTGCCATTTCAATATTACCATCTTCGTCTAAGAATGATAAAGATGAGACAAGTAGAATTCTGAAAAGCTCATTATTGTTCTTTACTTGCTATATAATCTTGGCAAATCTCTATACTAACAGACCAATTAATTTCTTTACTTGCTGTTAGGAGAAACTTCTAACAAAATTTTGTTTTATTTTTTTATTTATTCAAAATCTCAAATCTTGCTAGTAAGTGTATATTGTTCTTTTTTGGTTCATATATAAGGAAAATCTTCCTTTTTGCATGCTAAGATAAACCAGGACAAACAGTGGAGCTACAATCACTTTTTTTTAATTTCACTAACATGAGAAAGAAATAATTTGAAGGTTTAATAACAATATATGGAATTAAATGCATAACATATCAAAGGTAGATAAACACAATGGTCAGTTCACTATATATTCACAGTGATGTATATATTAACGCAACTAGAGAGAAGGACATATTAGACAATCTAGGCATTACTAAAATCAAAGATAACGTTCTCATTATTCATCAAAATTATCCCAAAATTCGGCAAACAAAGACCCAAAAATTATGTATAATATTCTAGAAAAAATCCTAAGATTTTGAAAATTGAGTAGTACAAACAAGGCCATTCTAAGTTTAATCCAACCTAATTAAACTTCAAAACCAACAAAATATGAGTAGAACTTACCTCTAACGATGAATTTGGATTCATATTGACCGAAGAGATCCAAGAGAAATCTATAGTTGAATCTGGAGCGGATCGGAAAAGATCAGAGAGCACTAGGGTTCAAACGTCGAATTAGGTGGGACATACCCGTAAATTTGTACGCTAACACGTAAATTGTAACGCATACGCTTAGATATGCGAATATGCATACTTTACTTGTGTGCGAAAACTAAGCACACATGCGTCATACGTGTAGGTGTACATCTTAAGCGGAAGAGTGACAATGTCATAACCCCAAATTTCGAATCTAAAAGGAATATTGGAGCTAGATTAAACCTGTGAAAAATCCTCCAAAATTATGCATTCATTAAAAGACCATCAAAATAATCTCTTCATTGAACTAAAACCAACAATAAATATTCTTTATAATCCCAAAAGTCAACACTAATCCAAATATCTTGATAAAAACAAATATTTCTCAACTTGAAATAAAACTCGACCTAAAGGAAATAATCTAATTATTACAAAACTCTCAATTCATCAACTAAACATCAAAGACTTTATTTAACCTTCACCTAGAAGACAATAACAATCTCGAATTATATTCCTTGCTTCGTTCTAAGAATTTGAAAAAAAAGCCCATCAACTCCACCTAATCCGAGTCTCTGAAAAGAATGAAAACAACACAATGAGTTCACAACTCAATAAGTGGATAAATTCATACATTAAATATTGGTTTTGCAAAACTAAAATAAATGGACTTGATAAGCAAAATACTAAAATAATAAAAATTATAAGGCAATATTTTTAAAATATATACATGCAATGGAAATAAGCAGATCACGTATCAATGCGGTCAACACTTCGATACTCCGGTTGACTTGGCAAAGCCCACTATTATATAGCCCGTGGTCAGGACGGTGAGACCCAAACTTGGGTTCTTAGCGCTAAAATAAAAACCTCATAGAGACACATTAAGCCCTGTTTAGATGGCTTACTTATCCCCAACATATACTGGTATATTGATCCGAGGTGCATATGCTTTAAGAAAATTAAACAAAGTTTGTAAAACTAGATACATTATACAAAAGTGCCAAAGGCCAACCAATAGTGAAATAAATCAACTACATATGCATCTCAACCTACTACTATATGAAAAAACATAACAATTGATAAAGAAAATAAGTATAGGCTTATACTAAATATCCATGTGCATCACATCCAAACCAATTTAATATGCAAGTAAATGACATAAAAGAATATAATCCATCAGAAATAAACGCACATATACATAATATAATTTTATATAAAAAATAAACAGTGCATAATTCATAAATTCACCACTTACCTCAAGTCCGAAAAAAATAATCCAACTACCCCTCACAACACCTTCTCGGAGTCACTTGGAACCTCTAAAGAATACATATTAATAACCATCAATGCTATTGTATACCTTAAGACTCAAGCATATATTAGAATAATCAACATGTAGAATTGGCAGAATAGCAGTATTCAGGCTCAGGATTCAAGCAGACAGGGTGGCGGTCGACCGCGACGGTTCGACCACGTTTCGTGCATGTAGCTTACTATGCGTTTGGATAGTGCGTCGACCGGGCGGTCGACTGCAGCAGTTTCTGCTTTGCGCCGCGGTCGACCGCAGATATTTCTAGATTCGCTGCTGGCTCTTGAATTGAGGGCGGTCGACCGCGATGGATTCGCGTTCGACATGGCGGTCGCCCGGACGAAGCGGTTTGGGCCTGGGTTCTGTTTCCAGACCCGTTTCGTTTGGGAGTTGTATAGATACCCTTAACTCGGTTTTAGGGTTTGAGGGAGAAGATTTAGAGCAGCCAAACAAGGAGATTTGGGGCTTCTATTGTTGGAGCCATTTGGAGAGATTAAGTGGGCTTGTTTGTGGGTTTTGGTAAGATTTGTAACCCTAATTTGTATTCCCCTTGATTTCAAATAGTAAAACTCCCCCCTCCTTGCCCCGTGGACGTAGGCACATTGTCGAATCACGTATATATTGTGTTCTTGATGTGATTGGGTTGCTTGTGGCTATTGTGATCTATTTTGGTTCTTGTGTGTGCTATTGATTTTGTCTAATCGGGCTTCCGCTGCGCACAACACAACACTTATGCTAATAATACATTTTTCAATCTAACATATAAATCTAAAATCAACCAAAATACCTTTTGTGACCTATAGTCCGCAGTCAAAAACTATATGCACTTATCATCTATCTTCTGTAGTTTATGGATTTAATAATGTAAAAGATGGTCATGTGCTAAGATATATATGATCACATATAAAACTTGCCATGAGCAGCAACACTACGACTCCACCATGGACATGATCTCAACAAAATTAAAATATAAGAGCAGCAACAAGTTTGGTTGTCATCCATGGCCAAGATCTCACATCTCTAATGAAGAAAAACTATACCTTGAGAATAATCTGTATCCCAACTTCGCCAGACTTCAACGCGTTTTTTTTCCGCCGGTTTTCAAAAGGACGCAGATAGGGTTTTTATTTTTATTTTTATTTTTATTTTTTTTGTGTGTGTGTGGTGGAAACAGAGACGGGAAGAAGAAAAAGAAAGCTGATGGGAAGAAAGGGTAGGGTTTTGTTTATTCCTAAAAACCCTTTTACTGATAGACCCTCTAACAATTTATGCACAAAAGTTTTTTTACTTTTCCATATATATATATAGCCAAGAAACTTAGAATTATTACAGACAGACACGTGATCACTCCTTGTAAATGAAGGGGATCTCTCTCTCTCTCTAATCTAGAAAAGAGGGGAAATATAAAGAGGGCAAAGGCAAAGGAGCTCAAAACCTAGCGAGTAAAACCCTAGCCACTGATAAGAGGACAATCGGTAGCTCGTTTTCACTTTTAATTTCTGTGATTTCTAAAATCTCATTTGCATTTTAGTTGATCAGCACAATAAGACAGGTGTTGATGATGTAGTATCTCATGTGGGCACCATCAATAGGGTGAACAAGCTAAAAACAAAGATAAGCGGGGAGAAAAAAAGGGCCTTAGGCTCTTTTTATATAATAGTATGATAATATTTAATTGATTAACTTACTTTAATTGCAATGGAGTTACAAAAAACATCTACATTAACTAGTAGTTTATGGTCGATTTGAGAGATTTTTGTTATGATACATGAAGAAAATTTTTACTTTAATCTCTGAGATATTTCGTCGAGCATGTTTCTGACATTTCATTCTACTTTTAGTTTTTGTGATTTCTTAGATCTCTATGATAGATAATGTTTAGTTGATTTACATGTTGTTGTTGCAAATTGCGATTGAATCCAAGAAACCTTGAGAATTACTAGTAGGTTATGTGATTGTGTATATATATGTGTAGATCTGAGAGAATTTTGTTTGTAATACATGGGGGGGATTTTAGTTTACATCTCTGAGACATTTCATTGCGCGTGTTTCTGACATTTTTCTTCAATGTAAATCTGAGAGTTTCCAGGTTTCTAGCACTGAATTTAGTTTTGAAATACTAGCTTTAAGAAGCAAATCCTCTTTCCTTGAACTTTCATTACAAAAAGTTGTTGATTCAATCTATACCAGTTGCAAGTTTTCTGTATATTTACATGCAAACGTAGTTTCTACACTTTTCTGTTTAGCATGAATGTAATGCAAATGACAGTTCAATTCTCATGTACAACTCAACATCTAACCTGCTACTCTTTTTGTTCAATAGATCATATTGGAAAATGCACTAGAGTATAGAGCTTTATGCTCATAAAAAGGAAGAGTGTAGATATAACTTACTCCATCAAGTTGGAATGATTTAGCAAAATAAATAAATGAAATGGTCTCTATCACCAAATGACATCGACCTGGTGCTCGAAATGATAAAATATTCTTTTGAATTTTAATATTTTCTGCCTGTCAATCTTCATGTTTAAATGTCTTATTTATCAGTGGGCCTGAAGGCCCTGAACAATGAAATAAGTTAGTTAGGAGAAAGACTAGGGCCAGGGTCTCCATCTAGTTCTCATGTCTGAAGATGTAAATGGAGGAGGAAGATGTTGAGGAATACAGCTAGGTTAGTTCTCCAATTTAACCTAATCTCCTGTAATTCATGTTGTTTTCTTGTTTCTCAAAACTTTTCAAATATAAATGGAGGAGTCAGAAAGGAGGAACATACTTACGACTTTACAACTTTGTTCCATATCTTTGCATACACATATTCATTAGCTTTGCATCCTAGGTTCAGACCTTTTCTGCTAAATTTAAAACAACTCCCGATTACATACGGATATAGCCATCGCTATATCTGAGTTTTCTTCTTCTCCTGACATCATAACCGTCCTAAGTTGCATGAAAACGGGTATGGGTACATGACATGGCAAATTTGTAAAAGTGGGTACGGGAACACAACTATATCTATATATATGTATATGTATATTTATATATATTAGAGTTAATACTTACACAAAATCAATATTTTTTTTCATTCATATGTTATGATAATTAAAATTATTATAACAATTTTATATTTCTATTTATGTAGATTACAAATAAGAAAACCTCTCATTTTTTGAACTAGATATCTAGATGGGCCATTAAATTCATAGTTCTCAATAGGCTATGGGTTGAAACAAACCGAACCCTTGCCCAATGATTTTCAAGAAGTAGATGTGAAGTGCAGGATATACGTCCAATAAGTGTATGACGAGCGTTTTAAATTGACAACGTATTATATAATTGAGTACGCACCCTAATAAATGTATGTATATATTCAAGAAGTGTCCAATGAGTTTAGGTACATGTATTGTCAGGTAGGGGTATGCCTTCAGAGTGAAGTAGCCAGGCTATTTAGTAACCAGACCACATGGACTAAACTGGGAGGAGCAGGTGTGCTAATTCATGTCTCTGTTAAACTATAGAAATCTCTCAGGCAGGTGACATGATGTTTCTTCATCTGCTTCTTATCATATTTCTCCATGCAGGAGCAACCATTTAATTGTTTATCTAACTCTTAAGATCAAATGAAAACCAACTAAAGCTAAGTGATGACTGCTATCAGCTTTAATGAGTGCTTGGATTTTGTAGCACCAGTGAACGATTTGCCCTGCAAATATGTTGATATTGCGACAGCATGTTGACCATTTTTGTTCCATAGATTTGGCGGTTGCGCTGAATGGGCAGCATTCATGTGTTGGTGCCACATGCAAACACCTCATTGGGCTGGGCCCATGGACTCAAATAAACAGAAGGAGAGCCCATGATATTTTTTCAGTTGTTTGAGCTCAGATCATTGTTGTTTTGCTTTGTTTTCTAATTGTTTCAACTTTTGCCTAGCCTTCTAGGCTCTATTACAGAATTTAAAACAATCAGAGCTTTGTGAATATGTTGTCAGGTGTTTGTTTTGAGGTTGATAGCATGTCTTTCTCGTGTGAGACTTGCACAGGGAAATCTACATTTCTATAACCTTAAAAAAACATCGAAGTATGCATATATAAATTGTTTCTGTTGTACATAACCTTACATTGTTAAATACTGTCATGATAGGGCACTATGCACGTTGATCCTAGGGTCTTAAGTTCTTATGATTTTTCACAAGTTGATCTAAACATTACATTGAAACTTGCAAAGACCATACTTTTGAGCTATGAGCATAGTTATCGCAGTCAATGCAAACTTATCCAGTATCCACATACCATATTGGGGTTAAAGTTTTGTACAAACTGCAAAATAAATTGTTTCTACGATACATACCCATGTTTACATTTTGTAATGCTGGCATGATAGAGCACTACCATATTGATCCTACAGTCTGAAGTTCTGATGATGTGTAACATGTTGATCTGAACATTACATTGAAACTTGCATGGACTATAGTTTGAGCTTTCAACATGATAGGTTATAAAAACCCTTAGATTGCACAGTTGTTTGCGAATACGAATTCATTCACATATCATGTTGGGGTTAAAAATTTTACGTAAACTGTGGTCCATTGTTCATTTGAGTCCCTTGTGAAATTCTGTACAAAAAGCATCTATTGACTTTCCCCTCTCAAGTTGCAGTGCATGCCGCTTACTTCAAAACTTCAATTGTTTTGATACTAGAAATAGAACCTCTCATTAGGATGTGATATGCCTTTGTTACCCCCTAATATCTAGTTAGATAGACAATGGGTAACCACCCATACATGAGAGAAGAAAGCTCCAGTGGAGGGAGACATAATTCCTGAGAAGAAGCGAACCACAACGTTCTCTGATGGAAGGAAGTATTATGCTGTGTTTCCCAAGTTCATATAGTTACACTTGTTATGGAATAGCCGAGCAGGATTTAATCTACCTTTTCTTTTATATACAGGAGAGGTATTCCTGTACTAATATTTCCTTCAGACCTGGCATATATTAAAAAAGAGATACAATAGAATACCATATGCTAAATTATTCACAATCAAATTAGGTTGCGGTGATGTTCTTTTGACATTTGAGATCCCACCTCGGCTTTTCACTTAATAGTTTGTCGTTGTTTTCCATGTCCAAGAAGCTTTAGCTGTTCACATATGGTAATTGGTATGTGGAATCCATGTACATATCCGCTTGGAGAAGCAAACCACCCTTAGCATTTTCTTTTCCCTGTGTAATAATATAGCATCTGATTCTACCATTCACTAACTTTTTACTTCTTTGTTTTATAGTTCACAGGTAAGGCAATTAATGTGTTGAATAAAGATAATATACATCGATGCCGTTGGTGTGGCTGCTTCAGTTCAAGATAAATGAGGTCATGCAAATGGATCCAGACACGGCTACACCTTGGTAAGGAATAGTGCAAAGGTTCTACTCCTTGGTCATCATATTGGAGATCCTGGCTTGGCTGATGGTCAGAATTATGATAATTGGACTTCTGTTGGTAACTATTTTCCTTTATTAAATTGAAAAATTCATGCTCATTTTCTTTTGGTCACAATGTTATATCTTATGATTATTGCGTTATTCATTATTACTTTATGCAGACCTTCTTTGAACATAATTTGCTGAAATATAGCAAAAAAAATTCATTAGCAACAATTTTAGAGGAAAAAGTGTCATACTCCCCTCTTGTTCGAGAGCAACGATATTGTAGAGTTCCTAAGTAGATTTAATTGATCCATTTTAGAGATTACAAATTGAATAAATTCTTTCTGCTTGCATGTAAGCATGTGCAAGAAGTGTAAATATTTAGATCCACTAGAAATGTCATATGCAAGCCTGTGCACATAAACAGACCTAGCTTTGAAACAGGCATCATTCCTCTTCCTAAACTTACACTCAAGTATAAACTTTTTGTATGCGAACTTATAAAATTAAACGTCTTAGAGAAAAATACCGAAAGTTTGACACTTGATTACTAACTATGTTTGCCTGTTAGCAACCTATTATTTACAACTTTTAACTCTTTGAATTATGAGTAGTAGTACTTTTATTTCTCTCTTTTGGAAATCTGTGCCATTTGTTTCATTTGTTTTATTTTATATAGTATATTATGTCTAAAATAGAGGCCATTCTGCTAGCGAGAACCTGTCATCTTTCTGCTTCTGGGCTCCACATCTTGGAGAGTTTAGAGAATTTCTCCTGGACTACATGAGCTTGGAGCACGACTAATAAGGAGGTTTCTCAATCTTTTAATTAGGCTTCTAGGATTTTTCGGTCAAGGAATTAGTACTAATTTTGAAATTGATGTCAAGTTGACAGTCAGTTGTAAAATCTTCAATGAGCCATATGCTTTGTGTTGATCCCATTTCAGGGCCTAAGCTTCTTTTACCACAGATCCATGTGCTCAAAGTACTGATATGTTGTATCATTCTCCTATGTCATAAGTATTTGATTATCATCGACCATTTTATGATAAGATTTCATAATAATACCATATTAGAAATAAAAGCTTAAATTAGAAGAACAGAATAATGCTAAAACAGTTTTTTTTTTTTTTTTAATTTCATGAATGGTCTAAAAAGATAGCTTCATCATTAACAATAAGTTGTGCCTCAACTGATGTTATTTGTTTTTACGGTCATTGTATTTCATAAATAACTAATGTTGTACCAACCTCTTTATAGTAGATCAAGTTAACTTTGGTCTAGCAATTTTCTGTTACCTGCTTGTATAAAGCTTCAAGTTTTCCGCATGATTTATGTGTTTTCAACTCCATATTTGCCTTTCTCCACTGTTTATCTTATTAACGCCTTCAATCTGACTTGTTTTACTGAACTATCATTGGAATTTTAGATGTTTTCATTCATAATTCACATAATTTTTTTAGTTTTTTTTTCTGTGGAGAAGCCTATCAGCTGGTTATAGCAAGATCGGAAATTGCAGTACTTGTATTGGGATAAATATATTCAGTAGTTTCGGGGGTTTTGGACTGGAAACATAGAATTTTCTGAATCGGCATCTTCAATGATCTTACAAATCAAATACTGTAAAACGTACTAAAGACTATTGGCAAGTTGGCAAACATTTGATATGTTTTAGAATTATTTTTTAATGAAATAGCATAAATTTCGATTAGTTGATGAAGTGGTCATTTCCAGTTACAGATGGTATTTGCATTAGTAGTCTTAACATAAATGAATAAGTTAAGAAGTTAAACTTCTTAGCTGCATATGTTTAACAGCATTCTGTAAGTCCTACAATACAAGGTGTTGCTTTTTATCAGATCTTTACTTCTAATTTTTTTTAAACTTAACTTTTATCTATATTCCATACTGTATAATCTTTGTTGGTCTATGTGCTTATATGCTAAGCAAACTTTGACCAAATTTCTTTTCTGAATGTTTGTTGAACTGTGTTTTCTCTAGCTCAATGATTTTTTTAATTAATTTGTGTTATTTTATTTTATTTGAAATTTGTCACGTTCACTAGTAGGCTTTGAGATTTTATAGTGTTTTTATTGTCATCAGTTGCATGGGATTAATCTCTGTCATTAATTATGAGTTTACAGTAAAGAAGTTCATTGATCACTTACTATTATCTTTATTATTATGTTTGTTTGTTTATGTTTATGATATTTTAAATTCTACTATTAGCATCAATGTACTACTATCGGTCTTAACACTTGCCTTTTGAGTCCAATGTGTTTCAGCCAGGACCAGTGATCGACACGCTCAAATCCAATCCTGTAAGAGTGATGTGCATGTCAGTATGAACTGATTTTGAAACCTTGATCTCACAAATATTATGAAATTTTACACTACTTAATTGTTCAAGAGAAATTAGTACATCTTGGTAACAGAGCTCAGCTCTAGTTCACTTGTTTTACTTAATCACGGAAATGACTTTGCATGCGTAAAAATGGAGGGGTTGCATGCTCATAGTTTATAATTCAGGATCTGCCGACAAAGTCCCCACCAAAACTTTGTCAACAGTTTGATGGATGGTTAAATTTTCTAGATGAATTTAGTTTGAAGTGTTAATGGAAAATCTATATTTCTACTGGATAAAATATGGTTTATGTCATTACTATCTGGAGTGGTGGCCGGGGCACCAGGTCCCCAAAAGAGTAACATAAAAATAATTGCCCCTATTTTTCTCGAGGAGAAGGAAATAAATATATGGTTTTTGTAAAGTTTTCTAGCTTTACAATCTTCTGATTACCTATAGCAACTGAAATACTAGGTACACTTCAAAAGGTACAGGATGCAAATTTCCATCTCCTAGTGTTCATATACTTCAGAAAAAGTTTCTTTTCATCGTACAAGGATAAAAGGCAAGTATAATGATTATGGTTTCATCTGCGATTTACGTGAAGTTTAGCAGCATTGTGTTGTTCACTATATCAGTCTTCCATTTGATTGGCCTACTTGAACACGCGCAAATATCAATTCTTCCCAAATCTGCACAGAAATGGTCAGAGATGAACATGATTTAGTTTGTTTACATCTCCAAACCGAATTCCTTTGGAAAGAGGCGTGGACTGATTCGATATGATTGCAGTGCATGTGTACGTTAACTGTTGCTTTGCGTATTCATCAATATGTGATCAGGAGCAGCCTGGTCATGTATAGACCACACAAATTGTAGCTTATAGCTGCTCGTTTATGCTCTCTCTTGCTTGCCGCCAGTTATAGAATCATCTGGAGAATTTTGGTGCCAATTCTGGGGAATAACGAGAACTTTGTTATCAAGAGTGATTCTAGGCTGGAACGATGTGACTCCATTACTAACTTGGTTGGTTCATATAAAAGCCTACCTAGCATTTTTCTCAAATTTCATGCGACCGACCGTTTGCAGTGCATTTCCAACCCAGTGTTCAGCCACTGAAACCGTCCAAGTAATAATTATGGGACCAGTTTGGCACGAGAAAGTATCCAGTGAGGACGGTTTATATTATTTAATGTGCATCAAACGGATGTCAACCATCGGTCCGTGCACGAATTATCCCGATGGCCAATGATCTAACGGTTGTACGGTGCACGTTTAATGCCATGCATCCAGGACTATGTGATACTTTCTCATTTATTTGTACCGATTACTAATTCCAAGAAAATTATTTTCTTGTCGATGCACAGATGCTCTTAGCAGTATATTCAGCGAAGGTATACAAATCTCATGTTGGGCCAGATATGCGATCTCTCCAAAGTTTGTGACTGGTTTTAATTACCTAATACATCGTCACGGAGAATAATTCCAACGAAATATCCTCTTTAGGCCGGCCAGTTGATATTTTACCAAATTCCTCGCAGACCCCTCCAAATAAGCAACGCCCAAAGATATCTCAAGACATCGAAACGTGGGCGTAATCGGGCATGGACTCCAACCTATAGATGGGCCCACCCATGCACACACAGTGCCCTCTAGAAAAAAAAAAAGAAGAGTCAAATACAACGCACCAATTCTGCTGTTAATATCACCGACCATCATCAGCAGCAGCAGCAGCACATCTCTCATGGATCATCATCCCCATTCTCCATTAACAAAACCAAGTCAAAAAGGCTCCCAAAAAGCCAAAAGCGCCCAATCAATCCAGACCATAAACTCAATAGTATTTTATTACAGTGATTAAGACCTTAATTGTGAACGCCAAGGTGATAATAAATAGGCGATGACGACCGGCATTGAGCAGCTCCATCCATCAGTCACAAGCATCTAGAAACATCTCACAATCAGCAGCAGCCACGAACAACGACAGCACAAGATGGCTTACATTCTAATGATTTATTTTTTCCAACTTAAATGGAAAAAATAAAAATAAACTTCATCATCTGCTGTTTCAAATACATTTATTGCTATAGCTACATATTTGTGCCACAACACAGTAACCCAGCAACAACCAACAATAACACGAGCCACAAGAGGAACGGGAAACAGTGGTATCTTAGTAAATAGACACAGGACAATAACAATAAACACCATTTTCTTTACAAAACCAGGACACAACACAGAGAACCAAGAAGTTGCATACAAGGTCAGCTGCCTATGGGGATTTTTTTTTTAAAAAAAACCATCTCTAATAGAACGGGTTCCCTTTGTTTACCCATCCAAGCTCAAAACAAGACACCACTCAGTCATTAATATTATTTATGCGGGGACATAAAATAGAAAGGGGAGCTCAAACCAAGCCTTTCCTAAATTAACCCCACGCATCAGCGCTCTATACAACTTCCACTGCCGGTGTTAGAGAAAATGTAGACCCAACCGACTCTTCTTTCCTCAAGAAAGACTCTTCGTCATCGTTAGACTCCTCTCTCGGAGAAATTACTGCCTCTTCTACAGCCAGCAGTTGCCGCTGTGAGAACTCTTCAACTGGAGACATTGGCGCTATTTCTGCATTCTGCTCTTCTTGCTGTACAAACTCTTCAGGTTGAGAGAGTACCAATGCAGAAATTGGCTCGGTGTAATGGAGCTCAATCTGCAGTCGATGATGCAATGGAGTAGAAGTCATTAGTCCTTTCTTGATGTCGACTTGCAGTTCTCTGATAGGGATTGCAGCCAAGAAACTCTTTATGTACTCTTTACAGGACTCTTTACCCTTGCACACCAGCTCTTGCTCAGTAAGGGCAGCATCATTTTCGCCTACCTCTTGCTCGGTCTTTGAACCCTCACCATTGGCTTGTTTGCTGTCCTCTGCAGGAATTCTGTGAATCAATGTGTTTGCATCAAACTTAAGGATGTAAGCCTGATCGCAACCTTCAAACAGCCTCTCCCCGAGGGTGTCTATGATGTAATATGCATCTCTTTCGACCTTCAGAACAAAGAAGTGATCATTCCAGCTCACTATATAGAGCTGAGGGTTTCCATCAACATAGCATTCAGACCCAGCTCTGCTAATCTCATCCCAGATACTGTCGAAAGACATTGCACCGTGCAAGAAATCAAAGCCACTGTTGTCGTCCATGCCTTCAGGATGGAAGAACCCTATGAAGGATTTCCCAGGGGCAACTGATAGAGGGCGGATCTTTGCTTGGAGGACGGTTTCTAGGTCAAAATGCTTGTCCGGGAATCTCTCTCGGTACGTTTGGTTCTTGCAAAGGTTTCTCCATTCAAGGGAGCCTTCCCGGATGAGACTGTCAAATTGGGATTTTATTGGCATCGAATCACGATTTGACTGGAACCAGTCAGCAATGACAGCCACAAGAGCAGTGCATGCACTCTCACCAGCAGCACGCTCGCTCCTCTGGTCGATTGAGGCAAAGAAAACCTGAGTGGATAGCTTCATTTGGCCATCACGGCTAACTACTTCCTTCGACTCCCAGCTGCCAACAGCAAAATTGTCATCACCAAAATCTGATAAGGATGAACTGTTTGCAACTGCATCTTCATCTACCTTGCCCCTCTGCAAAATAGGTAATTCTATCAATCGTTTTTTCAAGGGCCAAAAAATTGGAAAATAAGTAAACGTCTTCCTGATCTAACTTAGCAATAATAATGCTAGATACAACAGAAAAGATTGAAAATAAGAGCAGGAAGCAATGAGAGTATACCAATCCGGAGAGAGACTCATCAGAGGAACTTAGCTGCCGCCTGTCATAATCGATGTCATCTCCACCCTCTTCTCCATTGCACTTTTTCAGCAAAGGCTCTCCTTTCGCTTTGGGAGACCTAAAGCTTAATTTCCTCTTTCTCCATGGAAGGATGCTCCTCTTTGAAGTCAACACAGTCTGCTCCTGAACAGATGATGTCATATCCTCAGCATGGGAACATGCCACATCTGACTTGCGATGGCTATAGTACACCCAATCCTCATACTCTCCATTTATTCTCATATCAGAGTAAAATGAACCACCAACATAGTTTGCAGTAGCCAGAGTACCATAACTGAAGGACTTCCTGATACTAGAATTCTCCTTACCCTCTTCTAGTTCGCCTTCAAGATCATCATCAAGGGAGTCAGTGTCAAATGGGTAAGGGTAATCTGCATCCTCGCTCCTAGCAGAACATCTTCCTTCACTACTTTCGTCCTCACGACAAGTCTTCTTAGCCTTTCTAGTCGACACAAAGTCTGTAAGAATTTTCACTTTCCGCAATCCAGCCTTAAGAGCAGAAAGCTCGTCTTTCTCAGAAGGAAGAGCATCTCCAGAGGAAGGTGACAAAGGAGCTGGCACTATAGATCTTTGCACTGTCTCGGAAGATTCCTGGCTTGTTCTCAACTCCAACAGGCTGAGAGCCAACTGCAATAAATATAATGGCTTTATAAAACAGAAGACCGGAGGAGGTGAAAAATATTGAAGATGGCAAAACATGTGAACAAAGATATTATGTTTAACTGTTGCCAAAAAGAAATGTTGCAGATAATCTGACAGATGACTGAAATAAAGAAAAAAACTCCATTATACCAAATCCTACAAAAGAAATCCTGTAGGAGAAACACAAACATCTATACTTTAATTTAAATTTTTCGAAATAAAACTTCATGAGCAAGCTGCAATGGAATGAACCATATGTCCAAAACATAATAGGCACGCAAAAATTCGAACATCAACTAGAAATGAATTAGTACAGTAATTACTTACATTAAGTGATGGATGAGACTCAGAATTAACACCCGGCAGCAACAATGGAAGATTTATCTCAACCTCCTCTTGAGCAGTACGATGAGACTCAGAATTAACACCCGGCAGCAACAATGGAAGATTTATCTCAACCTCCTCTTGAGCAGTACAAGCAAATTCTGCAAGGTTGAGAGAAGCCATTCCGATGACAGATGTCTTATTCTTGGATCCTTGTTTCAAGCCCTAAACCCGGAAAAAGCAAGAGGTTAATATCTTCATAGCATGAAGAATCATAGATTACTAGGACATGACAACTTAATCTGCAGTCTTTTAAAGCCCAACCAGAATATCATTAACGTCCAACTACAACATCATTAACAACTAGTAATACAAACAAAATTTCATTCTTTATTAAAATTTTCAATCATCAATGAATGAAAATACAAAATGCAAACAAATAGCTAGAAATGCAAGTCATAAAGCCCCCAAGATAGAAGAATTATAGAACCCTAGTATATCTTAGCAAATAGTTAGAAACTTCTATGACTAAAATTGTGCAATTATACAACCAAATCAAACTTAAAAGAAAAGTTCATCAATTTCCGGGGGTAGGTTTGATGTTGAAATTTTGGGAAATATGCACCTTACCTAATTGTCATATATTGATCATTATCTGAACACAAAGACAACCCTATTAATGCCATTTGCATGAAGGATATATTTCAACAAAGCCTAATGTGACTTCCCAGATGCTGATTGAAGCAAAAGAAGTCATCTCTGACTAAGAAATAATTATGATATGCATATTTACATGATAAACGGGCCTTCTATACTGAAGTCATTGTCATGTATATCAGTAAACTAGAACTAAATACACGAACTTTATATTGACCTATGGCAGTATTTGAAAAAAGATAAAAGGTTTTCAGTTATAGCGAGGCTTCAGACTTCATGTTAAAAAACCATGGATATAACATCTTATTAGAATTAAATGTTTTATTGTTGCATTCTCGCACATCATTGCAGTACTCCTAATAATTTCGTGGAGGAATAGAAATCAGATAAAATCCTATTTCATATTAGGAAATCGAACAGCTTAAGTTCTTCCACCGAAAACAACAGAAAAGGAATATTCAAAAATCAGATAAAAATCCTATTTCCTATTATTAAGAAATCAAACAGCTTAATTTCTACCACCGAAAACAACAAAAGAAAAGGAATATTCAGAAATAAACAGGAGAAGAAAGAGAGAAGCATATGACAGTTCATATATTCCAATCCCTTTCCTATGGAAAGCATAATAGAACGGAACAAAAACCATATTTCCTTCAAAAAGGGCAAAGGGACAAGTGTAAGGATGGGCCAATCGTATACACAACACCTAACAAAAAACAGCCTCAAATAAAGCGAAATGATCCTTGACCTAGCAACATAAGCAT